AAATAATTATAATATATATTATTGTTTTTATTTCATATGGTAATAGACTTAGTGAATGGACTCTTAGCCTTTTTTGAAGATAGCTGAGTTGTAACATAGCAATTGACCGGCGGATTGTTTATTTACTTCTGTAAATAAAGAGAGAGAATAAATGGAGATCGCCTCCAAAGATTTCCTGGTCTGAGCATCCACTTCATAAAACAACGCACACTACACTAGAAACCAACGGTTACACACACACTCTCACACACACACGCACACACACGTACCTATCCAACAGTGCACCATCGATGTAAATCGCCAAGTGTGGACCTGTGTTTCTAGTCCTTTTGAAGTAAAATAAATATAATACAATATTTACTTTTACTGTCTTTTAACATAATATAACATAATATGTAAGATAAAGGGCTACCCAAATAAATTGATGTCCTGATGAGTTTTCATCAGGAATGCATAGTATTTTCATGTTTGCATTAGGCCTACAGAACAAAAGGTCCACACTTGTATGGCATTAAATGACATGAATCCACTGTTGGTTGCTACATAACGACACATGTCCCCTCTTAGATAGTATGGAGCAACAGTCACACTCCAACATCCAGCATCAATAATTATTCCGCATGATTTGTTATTATGTTTTTGTGATGAATGGATGGCTTAAACATTTTCAATCTTGACACTGCATTAAAATGAAGGGCTGCCCCCAAGTTAGGGGAGTCATAAGTAAAACTTTACCAACTTAAACATTCAAGAACCTGAAGTTTGATCCTCCACCTGAGAAGCTGCTGTCCTTTGCTAAGAAATGCGTAACCCACATTACCCATGAGAAAAAGACTATTACCGATGACATGAAATCCAGAGGCAAAGTCGATCCCTTGATGAAGTGTGGAATGTCGAAAATGCTGCTTTAGTTACAGATGAACATGCTTAGATGTACCTTTGTACTTTATGGACAGGCCTTTTTAATAACGGGCTACCCAAATAAATTGATGAAGCATTAATGTCCTGATGAGTTTTCATCAAGAATGCATAATTCTTGATTCAAAAGGCCTACAGAAAAAAATGTCCACACTTGTATGGCATTAAATGACAGGAATCCACTGTTGGTTGCTACATAACAACACATGTCCCCTCTTAGATACTATGGAGCAACAGTCACACTCCAACATCATTAAATATTCCTCAAGCGTGATAAATAAATTGAAATTAGGAAGTAAATGGTCAGCAGGAAGATTCTTAATTTTCTTTTTTTATTATTTGCTTAAAACAGATTTATTATCAACTTTCACTAGCCCTTTGAAAGGATTTAGCCCCCAAATTTTCGAAACTATGACAATCACAGGATTTCAATCAATTTTACAATGTACGTGTATCTTTAATTTATATCTAAAGGAATGCATTTTGTTTGTTGATTTGCATTACAAAAATGTCCACTGTTGGCTGGTACATAATGACACAAGTTCCCTCTTAGATAGCATGGATTGACATTCACACTCCAGCATGAATAAATAAAAGAAAAAAATAAAAGAAAAAATAAAGAAATTGATAATTTATAAGAAACTTGTAATTTAAACTAAATATAATCTGTAGTTACTAGGGGTTTGAAGAGACACTAAGTTTACAAGACTAGGCGAGACACAATATTGGGTTCAAGTGTGAAATGTTGAAAATGTTAAGTAGTGCAAGTTCAAAGGCCTAACAATCAACATTGGACGCAAGAAACCCTCCCCCACACTGCAGACAATCAGGCACACGTTCACACCCCTCACCTGCTCCAGGTCACCTCTCAGAGACAGCACTCACATTTACATTTTTCCAGGGTTTTGTATTTAGCTTAACTCTGCATTGGATGCTAATTCATAACACAGTTTCCTACAACCACAAATAGAAAACGGTACAAATATATGTAGACATATGTTTAGTAAAAGTGTCCAAACACGCAATTCTAATAATAATCAATTATTATTTTGCCTTTATTAAAGATAGTACAGCCAAAGAGAGAAAATAAATACAGGAGAGCGGAGATGCATGCTAATAAGCCAAAGTTTTGATTTGAACTGGGCCTCTGCAGTAAGAACTCATAGCATTTGTGTATGGTGCACATGCGCCTGAAGCCTCATAAACTGAAAATTTCTTGCTCGCTTCTCTCACGAGAGAAGTTCTCAACACTCGGTTAAATTATAATATCCCTGACGTAAGTGGCATGTTACACAAAATAAATTAAACACATAATAAACACAATTAAAGCTGCAAGCAGCGTTGGGTGGGCGCGTCTGGGTGTGAGCCGGCCGTGTTGCATATTCTGGAGCTCTGCCAGTGCGGCTGTGAATTTGCTATGCGGTTCCGACACTGCATGAAGGTGTTATGTCACTTCCTGTGTCCCCTATGTGGAGCTACATAGCACTTGCCGCTATGAATATAAATCGGTATTGGCGTGTAGATGTCTGCGGGGTGGGAGAGTTATCAAGCACGTAAAGTTTGGTTCAGATGTGAGCATGTACACTGAAGTTACAACAACTTCCTGTTTCCTGGCGAATCATCGACACCACAGACACGCCCATTGACGAAAACTCGCAAATAGCACAACTTTTCATCGTCAATGCCTTTAGAAGGCACAGCATAAATTTGACGTCGATCCGACTAAATACCTAGGAGGAGTTCGTTAAAGTACGGAGTGTGTAAATCATCCAAAAATGGCCGTAAAATTCAAAATGGCCGACTTCCTGTTGACTTACATGTCCCCAGAAAATTTCGAACATGTAGGTTGAACGTGAACGAGGGGATAATCTTTTCCAATTTTCTAGGTGGCGCTGGCGAGTCATTTTGCCACGCCCATGCGCGAAACTGACATGTTTGCAAATTTTGGTGAGTTTTCGAGTGTGTTTAGGCCCCGTCAATGGAGCCTACTTTGCAAAAAAAAAAAAAAAAAAATCTTAGACAAGATTCAATGGGGACCAATTCAATTCAATAGGGACCTCGCACGGTAGTGCTCGGGCCCTAATAATCTTAGCAAATTCAATAGGGACCTCGCACGGTCGTGCTCGGGCCCTAAATATAATCTTTACAAATACAATAGGGACCTCGCACGGTCGTGCTCGGGCCCTAAATATATATAATCTTTACAAATTCAATAGGGACCTCGCACAGTCGTGCTCGGGCCCTAAATAAGGCAAATAAAACAGAAGCCTTTTAACTACATAGCCTAAATACCTATGGTAGAAGCACAAAAAGCAAGGACGAATGACCAAATCATCAAAATCTGAGCAAGACAACAAGGCATTATGTTGGTTCTGAAACAGGTTTAAATTCTATCAGAAGAGAGTGACCTTGAATTTAAATGACTATGAATGCCTGGTTGACATTCATTGTAAGCCTTACATATTAAAAGACTGATCATCATTTCAATTCTTTGTCTACAGAAGCCAGACATTCTAAAACTAAGATACCTTAATCACCTAATTTAGTATTTAAATTCCATCTCTGTGACTTTCCCACTGCTTGTAAACCTTTTCAGTGACTTTAAGCATTGTTGATGATGTGTCAGACCAATCAGAGAGACCATCAGTCTCCCTTCTTTTGAGATAGATTTCAATCAAAAAGTGGAGTATTGTACATCCGCTCTTTACAGTTTCAAAGTATCTCCCACAACACTCAAGAGAAGTTGCATTACCAAAGGCCAAGTCACTGGTTAGCGATCTTGACGCCCTAACGACCATTGTCAGCAACAAGAAACCATCCCCCACGCTGCATACAATGGAGGACAATGACCCTCACCCAAGATGACTTCTCAGAGACAGCTCTCAACAATTCAACCTTAAAATTTTTCTGTGAATCACATAGGCTCTAGTCACTTAAATGTAGAGGATTCTTTTAAATCTACATCATTAACTGAAGACATGTGTAACTCTTTCTAAAAAATCCATAACAATACCTTCAAGCAGTATGTCTGACAAGTCTACCACAGTAAACAAAAATAAATCGCACTTGTGAAAACTGTAAATGTTAATATATGGAACTTTAGACAGATTCGTACATCATTAACGGATACATCAGCGATTACATTCCTGCACATTATGATACTGGCTCATATTGAGTACTGTATCACAAGTTGGTCCTATACGAGTCATGCTATTGGGCCAATCCAAGTATAACTTCCAAAACTAAAACTTCCAATATACACATTTAGATGGTGTTCGTTTTAAGCCTACTACCCTCTGTCTGTTTGCGTCTGTAGATTACTTCTAAATTAACCAAAACAAGCTAATCTGCATATTTTAACAACATTTACATTTATTCATTAAGCTGACACCTTTATCTAAAGCGACTTACAATTGCAATATATGGCAGGTTGCACGCCTCTGGAGCAACTAGGGGTTAAGTGTCTTGCTCAGGGACGCATTGGTGGATGTGTTACAATGGGGGATTGAACCCGGGCCTCCCACACCCGGCAGAGATCTTATCCACGCACCATCAGCATCCCTGAAAAGATTCTTGATGAAGTCATTAACTGGGAAAGTATCAGCAAAACCAAGGAGACAAAACATCAGTGGAGCTGGAAACTGGAAAGAACCTAAAGAAGGCTAAATTCCCATCCAAGTTCTTGTCAGCTTTTACAGAAGAGCAACAGAAAGCATTCTGACTGAAAACAGCACCAACTGGCATGGGAGGTGCACAGGACTGGAGGGCTCTGCAGCAGGTGATTAAAACCACTGAGAAGATCATTGGTACCTGTCTCCCGAACATCAGTCAGACAGTGAGGTGAGGTGCATGCAGAGCCCAAAGGATACTAAAAGACAGTACCAACCCCAGCCACAGCCCCTTCACAGCTACATTTGACTATCTACATGACTACATTTAATGATCGCTCCAATGCTAAATGAACAAAAGCTCTAATTGTAAAGAGCTTTGAGGTTTCATGACATTTTCAATTGTAGAGTGTTCTCAGTCCTCTCTCCGTCTGTGTTTTTTCTTACTGAACCTAAATACTGTCTGCCACTTACCCAGTACTATGAGGCTTATGGTGCTCCAGTGATATTGTGCACCAGTCTTGACTTTGCAGCTGTACTCTCCAGAGTCCGTCAGAGACAAGTCACTGATCAGCAGAGAGGCATCGCCTTTTAAGTACTCTCCAGCGAAGGCTACACGGCCATGTTCTGCTTCATTTGGATCAAAAACCTGTCCAGCAAAGTAGGTGATCACCTGTTGGGAGACGTTAAAGAGGTGGGTGGATTTGTGATAGGGTAAAGAAGGTAAGACACAAGTACAACAATGTGGAACTTCTATATCACAACTACCAATTAGGGATGGATCAGGATTTTTGAATAGTTGTTCAATTACAAAAAATGAATAGTTTTATGTCACTACCGGGGGTCAGAAAAATGTGTGGCACATTCAGTTTGTTTCAATTTCAGTTTCCCCTGAAAGCAACTTAGCATCCAGCACTTGATGCAACACCAGTGAGAGCCGTGAGCAGAGTGGCTTCTCTTCTTTCAGAGCACTACTCGGAGTGGCTTGTGTCTTGCTCGATGGACAGATGGACGAACAGCCTGATCTTCTGAGGGCACAGGCTGTAGTGGCCTCCCCCCTTCACGGGGATAGTGGAGACTGTGTTCTCCTCCCCGGCTCAGATCGCCGCCCTCCAGGCAGAACTACAGAAACTCCTGGAGAAGCAGGGTTCCTCTGGGGCAGTAGAATCAGGGGTTTTACTCCCGTTACTTCCTGCACAGGAAGAAGACAGGGGGAATGATTCCCATCCTGGATATGTCACTGTTCAACAGATTATGGAAAGACCTTTTTTTGCATGTTGACAGTAAAACATGTGCTGGAGTGTGTGTGCCAGGGAGACTGGTTCACCTCGATTGATATGAAGGACGCGTACTTTGTGTCATCCCGGAACACAGGAAGTTTCTGCGGTTCTCCTTCCAGTACCAGTACAACCGATTGGTCCCCATTCCTCTGTCTGTGGGCCTGGACCTAGCCTACTGGCGGGAACCCCCCTCTCGGTCAGGGTCACGTCCCATATCTCGGTCTTCACAGAAGCCTCCCTGCTGGGTTGGGGTGGGACATTCCTCTCTCAGGTGGTGAGCAGTCTGTGGCGGACCCACATGCCTCTCCACATGCCTCTCCACATGCCTCTCCACATAAATATGCCGGAGCTCCTCACGGTGTGGAAGGTGGTCCAGCACTTTGCACCTCTGCTGCGAAACAAGCACGTGCTGATCCGCACCGACAACAAGACTACAGCTGCCTACATAAACTGCCAGGGCGGGGCGCGCTCAGCGCAGCTGCTGGGGTTGTGGCGGCTGCTCTTGTGGGCATACAAAAGTTGATAAAAAGAGTAAACTATGCAACAAATAGAGAAGTTTCCAGCTAATTACTTTAACCGATGATAAAAATCCATAGAAACTACGCGATGCCTAAAGAGGGGAAAATGCAGTATCTATGAACAAAATGTTCTCTGAGCTTTCCTTTCCTTTTTAAAATGTAGTTTGGCTAAATTCACACAACTGGCCTTAATGCTAAATCCCGATTTATTGCCCACATCCTATATTTTGATTGACTGTTCACATTATATTTTAAATGAGAAACATATCAGTCTCGTGACTCACTAATTGTGACCCATATGCGCAAAAGAATGTCACATGCAGCGTGCTGTCATATGGAAGTAAACATGACATGACTATGTTTTTTTATGTTTATGTTGCAAGAAAGGGAATTTGTGAGCAAATGAGAATGAAGACGAGAGGAGAATGAGGAGAAAGAGACAAATTTTTTATTGTGGCTTTTTGTGGAGCGATGGCTGCTACTTCTGTATGGAGGTGTGTTTGTGTATATCTAAAATTTCTCTCAAATTAAATGATGATTGTCTTACTCCCTATTACCAGTAGGTGGTGCAATGTCTATAACTCCTAATTAGCATGTAGATGTCCTCAGGTAGGGACTCTTATCAAACATGTCAAACAACTCCACCACAATAATGCTTCACCATGGCAACAGTATAAAATGTGTTATTTCCTGTTGCCAATAGGTGGTGCATTCATTATGACTGGATATGGGCATGTAGATGTTTTCAGGGGGGAGGACTCTTTGGAAAATATCAGATAATGGGGAGTCATATTACAACAACTTTATCATCAATGTCTTAAGGCTTTTCTGCCCACGTTTTAGATGGATCTGGTCCATAAGCTAAATCCTATTTCATTGTAGAGCTCTTTCGCAGCTCATGGATTTGCTCGGCCCTTCCTCTCACTGACTTGGTCCCTCTCTCTCACAAATACACTGAAAACGTGTGAATAGCTCCTCTTCTTCGTGCACAGTTTGAATCAAAAGATCAAAGCATGATCATGCGCTGAAGGAAGGATCATTGCCGGCTTTTCTGAATCAATCTGTAATTGAATTGTTATTATCATAAACACCACTACAAATTTGTTTAAAACTAATGCATTCAAGTTTACTACAATACAAGTAAGCCTATCTGTATTCTTAGCACAACGCTGTCAATCTCAAAGATCCACCTTCAAATAAGTTATTAGCAAGCATGTTAGCATGTAACATTTTGCCTCTTGCATGGTGAGACACTCACCACTCTCTGTCTGTTGGTCGGCTTGAGAAGCAGCCACTCAATGTCAAGAGTAGGGTCATCACCCACCCAGAACTGATGGTGGCAGGGCAGAGTAGCATTGTCTCCAACAACTCTCTTCATCTCTGTCTGAGCACATGTCGTCAGCACACACAGCAGAACTGTAGAGAGATCGGTCCAAGATTACTGTTCAATGCATCAGATATTTAATATTAATAAAAGTCATTTGATTGACAGTATAAATCAGACAACGACCTGCTTGTTGTCTGATACTTGGAAATGACGTTGACAAAACAGTTCTGTGTAAACTGGTTTCTAAGGACAAAGTCGAGTCACCAAGAAGCTGCTTCTCACTTGACCAACTAAATATTTCTGAGTAAAAACACCAGATACAGGTCAAATGAGCTTTAAAACTCTGGGATTAGAAAATGAGATCTGAGTATGTGAAGATCACATTTTACATATTTGACACACATGACATTTAATTATTTTCAATAAGAATTTGTGCCATGCTGTTCTGTGTTAAATATTTCCATGCAGTTGAAACATTTATAGATGTGAATATGATCACAATGTGAATATGACTTGGGGACACTACCCTGCCCACACTCACACAAAGGTTTATCCAGGTTACACCAATTGTAAGTCCAAAACACTGTGGACTGGGGTGGAATTACCATGTGGCTGAGGATAAAAGTCTAAGCTTCCAATTGTTTCCCCTTTTATTTATTTATCCTTCCTTGGACACTGATCAACTGTATGGACTGTGATGTCCTGCTGGCTCCACACATTTGTGCCTGGTGTGGGAGAGCAAAAATAGAACAGGAAAATGTGTGTGTGGTGTGTGTCACTCAAAGCCGCAGAGTGTGTGTAAATCGCTCTGCGTCACACACACACACACACACACACCAGCTCAAGGAACAGCTAAGCCAGGTTTTCAAACTACAGTGGCTACCCACAAGTATTAGAGGCACAGTGCATACTAAGAGTGATAGCTTGTTAGCTTGCCAATCCTTGGCAACCAGCCAAAAAAGTGTGTTGCTTGGAATTCACCCATTCTGTAGAGCCAGCTATGGCCTGACTGCTGGAGGTAATTTGGTCGAATTGTAACAAAAAATACATCCTGTCTTTTGTACTGAAAGACAGGAATAGGGTAGGGCCTGGTTTAACTAAAATACATTATCTTTGTCAAACCTTAAAGGGAGAATAAAGGGGTGGTGATGGCGCAATGGATAAGACACATTCCTTTGGTGCTTTGGATAAAAGCGTCAGCTAAATGAATAAATGTAAATGTAAATATGTGATTCTGCAGAAGGATTGTTGATATATGAACTTTACTGCCAAACAAATACACCCTTCCCTTCACTGCCTGGAGTCCAGCATGTGTCAGTGTATAGAACTCTCTTTCCCACTGCCCCCAATCCCCGCTGTGTTTGATCACCAGTTGCTGAGTGGCTGGAACAATGATGTGTGGAATGTCCACACCACTATCTGTATTTTCCATTATGTAGAGTCAGGGCTGTGTAGGAAAACCAGATTTTATTCAGAGCACACAAAACAGAGAGCTAGCAAACCATGAGGAAATTTTCACTGAATTGAACAAAAATTGTTTTGAATTATAATAACTTAACAATAACTATCCCTTTAACCCTGACAGGCACACTGGCTCATAGTCAAATCGCTACAATGAGCATGGGTTTTGCTACTGTGTGTGTACACTAGAGCCTGACCGATTTATCAGCCGATATGAGCTAATTGCATTTAAATCGGCATTGGCATTTCTATTTATATGTGTGTGCCACTGACTGTATATAAATTATAATATGTATAGTATATGGATAATAAATCTCCACTTCCTCCAACTGTACAACAATGAAGCTAAAATTTATTTGACAGAGGGGGCAGAGTTTACGACCACCAGGGGTCGATTGAGATGTTTTGGCTTAACTTTTGTGGAGTGGTCATGTTCTCCATCTTTATATGTAGTCTATAGCATGTGTGTGCTTGTGGCAAATATGTAGGCATGCTCTTCACATCTGTTATCACCACAAAAGGTCTGTTGGCTTGTGAGAGGACTCAGTGAAAAGTGGCATGGAGAGCTTTGTTTCTTTGAATAAGCAAACTCCCTGCTGCTTGTCCCAGACTTCTCACTGGACCATTTAAAGTGGTGGCAGTGGGAGTCAGGGGGACACAACAAGGACCCAGATACCATTAAACCACCTTCCTGCCTGCTTGTTCATATGCAAGTCACCACATAAAGCTCTAGTCTTAGTGAAAATGAATAAAAGGAAAAATGAAAGGATGGCAAACTCCGTCCTCCAAGCTCATTTCTTAATTGTTTTTTTTATCCTGTTGTTGGGTGTGTGAAAATTTGCGCGAAAAACTGTTTCAATTATAACCTAACAAATGTTTACGCCAAACGCTAAACACAGGAAGTGAGCATTTCAATACATAGGATGTTGACATGATGGGCCCGCGGCTTCGACTATACTCAGATGGGTTAGGATATGTGGGAAATAACCTTTTGCATCCCTATATTACAAACTGAAATGTGCACTTCAGGTCTAACATGGATTATATTTTATAAACATAGGGGGCGATATCTGTCAAATGCAGGTGGAAAAAGTCCTGCTTGATGGCATATTTGTTTTGAAACTCCTGGAAAAATGACCAAGAGGCAGCGTGGCTTTAGAAACACAAGTGAGTGTTAGGGAAGAGTAGCAAGATGCAAAACTCTGGGTTCTGGGTTCAGGAAGGAGGAACACTGTAGAAATGATTTTTACTGCACAGCAGCTTCAGGAGAAGTGCCGGGAGCAGCACCAAGACCTTTTCATGGCCTTTATTGATCTGTCAAAGACAGAGTTAACAGGGAGTTTCTGTGGAACATCTTATTGAAATTTGGCTGCCAACAAAGATTTGTACATACAGCGACATTTTCACATAGAGATGATGGCACGGGTAAACATAGGAGGTCAGGAATCTGCAGAATGTTGAGAAGACAAAAGTAATTTGCCAGTGGGCATCTACTGTACTTCTCCACCAATTTTCACCATCTCCAAGGAGACACTTGCCATGACAGCTCTCCTTGTCTCAGGTGTCTACAGTGTATCCTAGGGATAAGCTGACGTGACAGAGTGCCCCATACTGAAATACTCTACAAAACCAACTACATCAGTATGAAGGCCAGCATCACCAAGCACCAACTTTGTTGGCTTGGTCAAGGAGTGCTTGCTCCTCCAAAGCTTTTTTTTAGAAGAAGATAGCCATGAAATGGTGCAGCCTGAACCCCACCAATTAGAGGACTCTGCCACTAAACTCCACATCTGGCACCAGATTTGCCAGCAAGAAGTGCTGAAGCTTGAGGAAAATATAACTGGACAGCAGATAAATAAGTAATATCTCCTAATATCTCAAAATAAATCAGTAATATCTCCTCAACCATAGATGCATAATTCTGGTCTCCATTAAAAGGTCAGAAGCTAAGGAATATAAATCAATTTACCATTACAGACTACATGGATATGCAATACAGAAATAATATATTTTCATCCTCGCCTGGTAAAAAAAGCTATATTTTGATACAATAAACCATCAAAACCATCATAAGATAGATTATAATGCACCTGAATATCTTCTAATACACCTGGAATACAACATAAATTTGATGAAAACAGTTATTACATAATCTTTTAAAAATATACCAGGCGAATGTCCATGCTTTGGCCATATTTACTGTTTATATGTTCACCTTTATTGGGAATTATTTTCAAAACATTATTTCTCTCCATACAACCACGTTCCAAATAACATAAAGCTTCCAAAACATTGAAATATTGATAAAAACAGTCAAATTCCTATGACCCAAAGCACTCCCATGCAACACAACATCCTACAAGGCTGTAAGTGGACTCTTTCTCTTAGTATTGAAGAGATGAATCAATTGAAATCCTGTATGTCTGTGTAGCTCCTACGGGTAGCAGAGGCCGATAAAGACCGCCTCCGCCAAAGGAAACTCTTCTTCTCTACTTCAGTCTGACGACAGAAACGAAAATTATTGGCTAAGCCGACCTCACCAAATGTCAACCCGCCAGACGGTCTCTGGGTATTTTAAGCCTAGTTCACACTACATGATTTTTAGCCCAATTTGCTGCTCAGCGAGCTCGGCGACTGTCAGGCTGTGATCGGGGGTAAATCAGATATCTTGCATGCCAAATATCTGGAAGTTGGCCGACTCGACATCCACATCCAGCCAATGAGAGCAGGCAGCTGGCAGAGCAGGCAGCTACTTTTTCACTGCAAAACACTTTTTACTCCCCTCCAGCTGTCTCTGTAGCTCAGACAATCCCTGCTACCTGCGTGTGCTAATCTATTCTTTCACCCATATATTTTGTCTTTATAATTGGTATCTTTATAAAAACAAACAACAGCTGTTTCATGTGTAGGTTCGCCTCATTTCCCGTTTCACATTTCAAGTGTGTTTTCTTGACAAAACAAGGTTTGGGACCAGCGTCGGGTGACACAGCCGCTCTCAGCTCGTGTAGTGTGTGACCCCCTGTCACCGATCAGTCACGAAGTGTGAATGCCACAACGACTTCAAGACTCCCATTACAAGAGGGCAAGTTGTGTAGTGTGAACAGCACGGACATCGGCCAACGCGGAAAATCGTGTAGTCTGCACAAGGCTTTAGTCTGATTTTAGTCAAAAGAAAATCAAAAGTATTTTAGTGTAGTTTTAGTAATTAACCATCATTTTAGTCTTTTCTAACTCATTAGTATAATTATAATTAGCATTTGGTCAATCTGCTGAAACCAAAATAGAGATATCATTTTAGTCTTTATTTCACTCATCTCACACAGATAAAAAAATTTTATTCTCCTTTTTATTGCAAAGGAGACATTAACTAACCTCTATTTCTGGGGTGGTTAGACGTTAGTGGTTGATATGCTGCTTCAAGTTCGTAGTGTTTTTTCCATAAATCTTATAATCACATTGCTTGCCGTCCGATATAATTAGGCACTCTGTTTTTTTGTCCGCCTCATTGAATTTGAAATGGGACAAAATATCTAAGGGCCTCTTTCTCCCTAACATGTTGTGTTCACATTCTCCACAGTACAGTAACGTTTTCCTTGCGCACCAGGCATCGCCCAGGTCAGCCAGCATT